TTTTTTTGGATGCAAGTTCGATCCAAAAAAACAATTATTGGACGCTGATGACGTCATCGGCGGAAAATACGTAATAAATGCCGAATAATGAAAATTAGCCGGTGCTTTCTGACCAATTAGAAACGAGAATACATATTTAAATAAATGTATAATAAACACCTTTATTACACGTATGTGTGTATTTACGTTAATTAATATCATTTTAGTCAATTTACTCGATTCTGATTGGTTAAAAACCGTGTGCCGATGTGTACCAGTGTGCCGATTAAAGATTAATCGGCACGGATACGAGCCCGCGTGGATCATGCGTGGAGTAAACACAAAATGTCAACTTGAAAACAAACAACTTTAGTTGAAAATGTACATTTTCTGAGCTCTTAGTCTACAATGAACTCTTATTTATGCTTTCATAACGAAGAAAAAATAAAAAATAAAGATTATTCACAGTTTTTACAGGTATGAATTGAAAATTAATGTCAGAAAGAGCTCGCAAAAATTGACCACGGTATATGGCTTTGCTCGCTTGAATACAAATACAATGTTTCTTATCATTGATTGCTCGTGTAAAATTGACTGTAAAATGATATAAATTTAATAGGAAATTACACTTGTTCTCGAAGTATTAATGAAAAATCACACTTGTGTTTGGCGAAATATTTATAATACCGCTCGTGCTACGCACTCGCGGTAGTATAAATATTTCGCCAAACACGCGTGCGATTTTTCATTAATACTTCTCGAACCGTGTAATTTCCTATACTAATTGTCGTGATTTTTTGCCGAAATGTTTTTCAATAGAAAAGTTAAGGCTATATACAAGACTGAGGCACAGTTAATTGTACTGACTTATTTTGAATAGAGACATGCGACTGCTGCTATTACACTTTTACAAGCAAATATCTTTTTCTTATATGGAGAAATTATGTTGCCTTTGCGATATAGATTCAAGTTTTTTACGTGCTTTCTGATGTATGAATTGGAACAAAAGAGTTCAACTCAGAACGCAGGAAATCTCATTTCCGAGGTCCTAGATTTCAAAATTTCTCGGGGGAGGATACCCGATTTCAAAATCAAATTTGAAAATGAGCCTTCCTTAATGTCGTCGAGCATTAATTTGTCAAACATGAAAATGTTATAGCATAGCTACTATATATATATAACAGGGATATGTAAGTAAATGATTTTTTTGATGGAATGGGATAATCGTTACGTAGCTAATAGACTAAATTTTGATCTAAACAAGTCTAGACAAAAATTTCATTACAGCTTGAAAGAGCATCACAAAATTAGTAATATTCCAAAGTTTCGTTGCGAAATGTTGTTTATTATATAAACATAAGTGTTATATAGAGTTTTTGGCCACTGAGAAAATTCGTATTTAAACACACGTAAAAAATACGATATTTTTACGTGTGAAAATATCATTTGTTGTAAAACGCATTGCCACGGACGTTTTATTG